CTTTACTGTAGCGCACATCTTCGTTTACAGAAGTAAGTAATTAGCTGAAAAACTGAAATGAAAGTCTATTTAGCTTCTCTTTAGCTTCTCTTTAGCTTCTCTTTACACGATTTAGTGAAAGCACTATTCCAAGGTATTGGTTCTTTGGCGTCAAGAGCTGCCTATAAACGCATGTATTCTCTTTTCTCATTTATAGTCTCACGATTGCTCATTTATATACGGTTTGCTGCCAAATTACTTAACTGGGGAATGTACGAATCTGTGGAATTCCTAGCTATTTTTTAACTTTGTCAAGGGACGGAGGTGCGAGTTTGATAAGCCGTCTTCACATTGGATACACAATTCACATTGAGAGCGCTCTTCCTTTGAAAAAAAACTGCATTTTCGTTCACGATGATTTCGTTACAACTGCTTTTTTCTTCTTTGTCTTTCTGGACCAGTAAATTGCTCTTCATACGGATTCAGTTAAGTTATTGGTTCCTTGTGTTTCATTAAACATTTCGCTAGCTTGGAATTACAAAGTATATTCTGAAAAGTTACTAGTTTTGAGAACTTTGACGTCAACAATTTTGAGTTTCACAAGTGAGGTTTTTCAAATACAATTGTTTAGTTATCTTGACAACGACTTCCTATATAATATTACGAATTTGATAGGGCAGAAAGAACATTTGGTTTCTGACCTGAAGTTCTTATACGTAACTTAAAACGGCCAAACGTGTCAGAGAGAACTTTATAATTCTAAGGCAGCTATATGTCTATCTTGCTATTAAGTGATAAAGGACTCGCACAACAGTCATCATTTGACAACGATTGAAGACGTTTTGTTTTAGGGCACTTTATTATTTTTTTAACTTAATTTCGTTATTCCCGCACATCTTTTAATTCTGTTTTTTTTAACCTGAAACTCCAAAAAGACAGGGAACAACTTGCATACTCTTAAGGGTGCAACCTCGAACTCGTATTTCGGATCTGTCTGCAATGGTCGAATGTTCCTTTGGTCTGCTGTGTATAGTATAGAACATAATAAGGGATCCACTTCGTCTTTAAAGAGTAAAAAAATACCCTTCGTAATACGAGGGGCATACCAAAAGTGTTTTACTTGACTATGAAGGAATAAAGGTAGAAAGCTGAAATTAGGGGTGAAAGCCAACAATTATCTTTCTAGAATGCTGGAAAATTTTGGAAAATTTCAAAGGACTGGTTTTACCATCAGCGCACTGTAAGTGAATGGGGGTATGTTGTTCACCAGTTTCAACATAAAAGTGGAGAAAATTGAGCGCAGGGCAGTAATGAAGTATTTGTTCTCGCAAGGCAAGCAACTACAGGATATTTTTACGGAGATGCATGCCGTGTATGGAACTGATTGCCCATTCTATGCTGTGATAAAATTTTGGTGTAAAAAACGTGATGATTAAGTCAAAGAAGCAGTAGAGGGCTGGTGTTCTAACTTTGAGAGGGTAATCTATTCTTAAGGTATTTTCAAGGTCATACACAGATAGCAAACATGTATAACTCTGGGAGGTGGCTTCATAAAAAATAACTAAGCTTAGTATCAAATTTCAGCTTTCTACCTTTATTCCTTCGTGGTCAGGTAAAAAAAACTTTTGGTATGCCCCTCGTACATATTCCAAAAATTACTTTACTTTTGAAAACGCTCCTTATTGGTAAGGTCTTGAAATTTCATGTTTCCCTCTTTTCTCCACAAGTCTCCTCAAATAATGCGCAAAAGTAACTCCAGCAAAGTTATTAAGTATATTATTGTTGTAGAACAGGGTGTAAACAGCCAACAGTATGTACCAACATCCTGAAGAATAAAATATAGCTTTTCTTAACCTGAACTCGCGATGCTGTAATTATTACTTGATTTCCCTTTGGGGATAAGGAAAAAAAAAATTATGTTTATCATCAATCAACGTTTTGACAGAATTTAGAAAATTATTAAAAAACGAATGAAGTTGAGTGTTCAACTCACAGATACGTTATTTTGTGTCCTGTGTGAAGCTTGCTTAAGTGATGCCCTGTTTCTAACCCGAGGAGAAGGGTCAACGCACATGTCTATCTATTATTCGCCAACATAAGGCACCGTACTCAAAACTTAAGCTTATTTGTCTGCACTACTAACATTGACATGGAAATTGCTTAAAGCAATTTTTTTTTTAGCTGTTCTACCTTCAGTTTTTTTCGGTAAAAAGTGGATTCTGGTGGGCTGGATAGGTCAGGTTTTAGGATTGTCATACGTTCTTGGTGAAGTTTTAAAGTCTGTTAAGAGACAACAACATAATATAAACGAAAAAGATTACTCTTAGATTTTGAATTCGGCCCCCTTTCTCAGGAACAGCCACAGCTTGATTTCAAATGAGATGCCCAATGAAGGAGATAACTCATAAGTCTCCTTTGGGTCTACCGATTTTCCACTTTGGTGCGCAAACAAGGTCCATAAATATTCAGTTTGATACACCTTCGTGAGCACCAATAAAAGAAGACGAGGATACCGACTGGGCGGGGGTCCTACCTGTTGGACAGAGGTCATCTCCCTGTGTGGACTGTCTAGCCAAGAGCTCAGACAAATTACACAGACCGGATTTGAAATTCTGACCTCTCAGAGGCAAAACGATACATTGGCGAACGTTGCTGTTGTTGCGATGTTTCGTTTGAAGTAACGTAGAATAAGAACAGGGGTGTGCATAAAGGTGCAAAATAGACAATCTAGAGGAGAAGAGCGTACGCTTCTTGAGTCACAGATAGCCATTTAGTGGTGTAAAGAGGCTTTATGTTTGATTTCGAAGGATTCCCATCTTATCCAACACAGGTCTAAATGTAGAGAGCTTCTTGTATCCTCCCGTTTTAGGGACCATTTTCTCCTAATAAGGATTGCTGAATTGCCTCTTTGTTCACTATAAAAAGTCAAACAGGATTCAGATTTAGTTTGCTTTTGCCCATAGTAATACGGTTGTGGGTTTTAGAAAAGCTCGACAGGCGTCCTAAACTTGCTAAGTCAAATATCTGTCAGAATCCTAAGAGGTTCCCCAGAAAATGGCGGATGAAAAGTATTTGGGGGACAATGTGCACAACATATTATATTCTGAAAGACAGAACATTTTATGCACTGCTGCAAGTTAACAAACAGCTTTTGTTTCCTTTCCAATGGTCACTAGTATGTTTTTGTTTGTTTGTTTTTAAGCTTGCTTGCTTGTTCTGGTTTTCATTTGTTGTTGGTGGTGAGTTTTTTTAATACAAAAAGTAGCTTATTATATCAAAGAACAGGGTAAAATGCTTTAGAAAGAGGACAATACCCTTGGCTTTCTAGTCCAGTTTTACGTCATGTCTTGGTATAATTGAATACATTTGACTATTTTCTCCACACTCACGGATCGAATTCGCATCTCCCGCTTGCGATAGCCAAGCGCCTAACTGCTACACCACAGAGGCAGACGTTATTGTATGCAACTGTTACATTATAAAGTAAGTACGTGTTAGCGACAAATAAAAACAATGTTTTAGAAAATATTTTAACAGAAGCCACACTTAGATTCCCCCCCCCCCACCTACTTTGACAATTTTTCGTTTCAAAAAATGTTTTCCCAGCAAGCCGCTAATTTTTCTGACGTCAGAGTTTGTCCTAGATTCTTACCTCTTGTATCGGGAAAAACGTAAATCATTTGATTTGGAAAGATTTAACCGTATTTTTCTCGACAGCTGTTTCCTCATCATAGAGTTCCCTACCCCTGTATTTAGAGACGATCCTACTTTGAGCGCATTTGTAATAAGATAAGATAAGATAAGATAAGATAATGCTTTATTGTCCCTGAGGGAAAATTGTCTTGGTTGTACAAGACCGTAAAAGCACATGCAGGTATGCATACAATTAAATTACATTACTTACACATTAACATTCAATATGAAAAGAAAAGGAAAATTAAAGCTGACAAAATGTACATATCACATCAGATGCATCATCCAACCACACGAAGGAATTAATTACAGAGACTTTTAAAGTTATTTTGATACATATTCAATATAGCAATGCTCATCATCATCATCATCCAGTGCCTTGCCGACTGGCGTTGGCGATCATGGACCTCCTCTGTACTCTGTCTTGCGTTGCAGCAATGGTGTCAGTTGTTCATGCTTCTCCTAGCCATGTTGTCATCTTGTCCAGTATCTTTTCCCTCTGTCTGCCTCTGCCTCCCTTTCCTTCAAATTTGCCTGTTGTTTCAATATTCTCCAATGCTTCTTTCCGTATTGCGAGTCCGAAGAAATTTGCCTGTCGCTTTCTTATATTCGTCGTAAGCTGTCTTCTGCAATTTGCTTCAACCATGACTTCTTCATTTATTTTTCTAGCTGTCCATGGGATAAGTAGCATGCGTCTTATGAACCACTACTCTGTCGCCATAATTGTTCTTTCCAGTTGTTTATTGATTGTACATGCTTCGCACCCGTATAATAGGATTGGCTCGATGTAACTTTTCAGTACTCTTTTTCTCGTTTCCAGTGACTGATTGATGTTTGTGAGTATCTGTTTCATTTTGTGGAAGGTTGCTTTTGCTTGGCAAATACGGCTTTTAATTTCGGTGTGATATCTCCCATCTGATGATATAATAGTCCCCAAATATTTAAAATGTTGTACTTGCTTGAAGGTGGTATCATTGATTTTGATATTGCTTGTTGGGGTTGGTGTTTTTCCGCTTATCACCATTGTTTCGGTTTCTTGGTGTTTATGCCTATATTGTCACTCTCTTGTACAATAACATTTAATAGATTCTGTAGATGTTCTTCATCTTCTGCTATTAGGACTGTGTCGTCTGCATATTTTAGATTTTTTTTATATAATGCCCCCCTATCGAGATACCTGGCATTTCTTCTATGTGTCTCATGATATTTTCACTATACAGGGAGAACAAGTTTGGAGAAAGTGCACATCCCTGTCTGACTTCTCTTTTAATCTGTATGTATTCGCTGATGTCGTTTTTTATTCTCATTGCAGCAGTTTGATTCCAGTACGTCATGTTCTTGATAATCCTTAAGTCCTTCCCGTCAATATTGAGGACTTCCAGCATGTCGATGATCTTGTCGTGCCTAACATTGTCGAATGCCTTGACGTAGTCTATAAAACATAAATGAAGATCTTTCTGAACTTCTAGGGCACGTTCTCTTGTTGTTCTGATGACATATATG